AACAACCTGGGAGGCATTGTTAGAGCTCAGTGCTACCCTTTTGGCAGGTGGCTAACCTGAAAGACCAAGCCATACGAGATCAAAGCTGGTGCAAACGAAGTGGATCCTAACAATAAATACTTTTACTTCTAACAATAAAATAGAAATTTTGCATTTATAAAACAGTATTATAAAATCTATCATGTTATGCAAAAGCTAGACAGAGAAAAACCTGACTCTGCTAATGTGAACATGCTTAACCACATAATTCTAACAGTTCTATAGTGGATGAAAAAGCTATAGTACAACAATCCACATAAACTTGCCAAATAACAGGTACCTCGACTAATGAACTTAATTTGTTTCTGATCGTGGTTTGTATCTGGAAATCCAATTTTCCATCACATCTAATGGGAAATCAATTAATTCTCAAATAAAATTCTTTTTTAAATCCAACTACATAAATAAGAATTACTCTCACCTAAATTAGGAAACTGCAAAGCAATTAAATAAATATGGAGAGCATTTTAAGGCAATAAATACACATTTTTAATGCCACTGCAAATTTTGTATTTATCAAATCTTGGCTATCCTCGGAATAACGGTCCTAAATTATCGAGGCGGAAAATATACCCTAACAGGGCCTCAGTCATGTGTCAATTGCGCACTTCCGTCACTGCTCATAGTATCCTCCATGCCGCTCATGCGGCGTGGATTGGGGCTAAACTAGATGGCTGGGACTCACAAGCAGCAGCTACCACATCTCCTGCAGCTTTCCTGATTTTATTTGCTCGTGTGTCCTAGCCATCTAGTTTAGCCCCAATCCACGCCGCATGAGCGGCGCAGGGGATACTTTCCGCGGTGGTGGAAGTTGCCAGAAGTTCGCAATTCTTCGGTGGCGTTGTAGTCCCGGGAAGTGGGCAATTGACATGTGACTGAGGCCCTGTTAGGGTATATTTTCCGCCTCGATAATTTAGGACCGTTATTCAAAGGATAGCCTAAATCTTTGCTTTTACATGATAGGTATGTAGTGTGAAAATTATATTCCTCAAATTGTTTAAAAAATATCTGTCATAAGCGGCTTTCTTCTGTTTCTTTGGTGAAGACAGTTTAAAAACCCTACATAATGTTGTTTTTGAGTCTTTTCCTTAAGACCCTTCTAAAATGATTAATAACATTGCATGCCACTGAAGACTGGTGGCTCTGGAAAACAAGTGCTTAATTTGGATGCCACTTGTTCCTCATTCTTCTAATTTGCTCCAGTGCTGCAAGATTGTTTAAGGTCACTTGTCAGGATTGCTGCCTTCGCTCTCTGAAGACATTTGCTCATCTCCACTCCTACTGTTTCCCGACTGTTCTGAGCTCTTCAGTGGTCAGCTCATTGTTATACTCCTCTACCAGTTATTTTATATCTGCTTCATCAACCTAAAGATAAGTGGTCTGGCTCAGAAAGACAATTGTATCAGCAATGTCAATTTGGCTTTCAGGTCCTTCCAAAGCAGATCCTCAGACACAATTGGGCCATAAGGTTTTCCAGGCTCTGAGAGTTCTTACATAAACTTCTTCCCTTGCCTGATTATTATGACCTAAACAATATAGAACGTAGAAACGATTCTTCCAGAATTCCCTGGTGGTTATTCTGTGTCGGTGGTAACTTCCAAACATTTTAGTATAAAGGTTTTTGAAGTTGAAAATAACAGACTGATCCACTGGTTCTAGGAATGAATATGATGTGGTATCAGGAGGAAAAAGATATGAATTTTCATGAAATTATACTTTTCACCAAAATCTGCTTCCAACTGTGGTGGATTTTCTGGCACAATGTTCCTTGTAAGAAGAACTTTTTCAGGTAGACCTTTTTCTTGCTGATGCTGTTTCACTGTGAGAGCAAAGACCCCTGTCATCTACTCACAGAAGAATTTCCTGGTTACCGAAGCTTGGATGTAACTTTTTCACATAAAAATGAATTTGTGTTTGCTAACTTTCTGTTGTTTAAAAGTTATGCTTTTCACAGCAATGAACCAACATATGTCTCTTCTTCAGATCACCACTGGCACTGATGCAAAAGAACAATGTTAGTAACCGATTAATGTTCTCACAGTTGAAAACTTGTTCAAGTCTGTAACCCTCTGACTCCATCAGTTCCTGAAATTCGTTCACAACTTTGTTTGATTGTTGGCAGCACCAGAGCCTTCTCCAAGTCTAACAACACTAGATGCTGATTCTATTCTTGAATTTTGCAAACCATCCACTGCTCGCTTTAAACTCTTCACCTATGTCTTTGCTACTGGTAGCGGATGGCAAGTTTGGTGATATATGTTTGTAAAAAGCTGCAGCTTTTAAATATATCACATTTTGAGATATACTAACTACTTTTAGTTGAATGTCATGAATCCAGGTGAGTAGTAAAGTTTCCATTTCTTCCATAACTTTATTTCTTCCAGATGGCACAACAAATATTCCTCCGGACACATCCAATCCTTATAAAAAATCTGGTTTCTTTAGAAATGTAGCTGTGGTGGACTTAGACAAGTTATACTGCTTGCAAAAATGAGTTTGCCTGATCCCTTTCTCATATTTTTCCAAAATCTCTTTCTTAGATTCGACTGTGATTTTCTTCTTACCTTTCCTAGTTTTCTTTTGCCTTATGCTGGAAATGAAATGCGATATCTAAATAATAATCTTAACTGTTTGTCAGTAACGCACCCTTCAAGCATATAAACTAACTATTCTTTGATTCCACAAATACCGCAAAAAAGTCAAATATGTGAGTACAGTATGCTTCGCACACTTCACTCAACGCATCATATTCAAGATAAATGCAATTTTGACTCCCACTGAGGCACGGTCTCTTGTCACAGACCTATATATAGAAAGGTAAGAAATTGATGGGGCACTGTGGAATCCCACAGAAAATTATCAACTTAGTAAAGGCAACATATAAAGACATGAAATGTCGAGTTCTTCATGAGGGAAAGCTAACAGATGCATTTGAAATAAAAACAGGTGTGCGACAGGGATGTCTTTTGTCGCCTCTCCTATTTTTACTAGCTATAGACTGGACTATGAAAACAGTAACTGCTAACACCAAGAATGGAATTCAGTGGACCCCTACAAAACAGCTTGATGATCTGGACTTCGCTGATGATATTGCCCTTCTGTCCCATTCACAGAATCAGATACAAGATAAATTAAATATACTTAATGCGAGATCACAGCAGCTTGGTCTGAAAATCCATAAAGGAAAGACAAAGATAATGAGAATAAATCAGGCAAATAGTAATGTGGTTTCTCTTAATGGCACCCCACTCCAAGACGTGGAGTCGTACACCTATTTGGGCAGTAATGTAGATAAAGATGGAGGAACTAATAGAGATATTAAAATAAGAATACAAAAGGCAAGAGGGGCTTTCATAGCACTAGGGAATTTGTGGAGGTCAAAAGAAATTAAAAGAAATACTAAACTAAAAATTTTTAATTCTAATGTCAAATCAGTACTATTGTATGGGGCGGAAACATGGAGAACAACGAAGGCAATTACTAATAAATTACAGACATTCATTAACTGGTGCCTGCGCAGAAAAGAGGGAATAAAATGGTATGATAGAGTAACTAATGTAGAACTTTGGGAGAGAACTAAACAGGCTCCAGTGGATCAGGAGGTGAGGAAAAAAGCTGGCGTTGGATAGGGCACACACTGAGAAAACAGGAGAACAGCATAACTAGAATGTCTTTGCATTGGAACCCACAGGGGCATAGGAATAAAGGAAGGCCAAAAAACACATGGAGAAGAGAGCTGGAGAATGAGGTTAGAAAGATTGGGAGGACATGGGGAGAGCTCCATGTAATGGCGAAGGATAGAACGACTTGGCGTGAGTTGGTTGAGGGCCTATGCTCCATTGGGGGATAAAAAGGTAGAGGAAGAAGAAGAAGAAGAAGAAGAAGAAGAAGAAGAAAATCACAGTGGAATCTAAGAAAGAGACCAGAATATCCTTGAGGTCTGTAGGCCATTAGTGCAAATTCAGAGAAATCATGGTATCAGCAGGGTCAGCATGTAGTATGGAGAGTTGCCCGAGGAGAATGTTTATGGCATGGAGTTGTCAGGGTGGTAGGTAAGTGAGAGAGGATAGGTCTGTTATGGTGATGTGGTTGGAAGTGAGGCCCTCAGCATGACTGATAGATTGTGATCGGTGAAAGGCAGCAGATACAATTTTATCAGGGATGCCTCGGAGCTGGACGAAATTCCACAGCTCTGGAAGTCACTGTTCCCCTGACACAGTCTATGGAGGCATAGAAGCTAGAAGAAAGAAATGGAGTCCTTGCAGGAAGAAAGATGGGAATTTGTGTAAAGGAAAAAAACACATGGGAATCAGTAAACCTGTACTGAGGTCTTTAGAATCTAAGGTGACAGTGAGATCCAGAAAATGCACAGATGCCGCAAAATGATGGAAGTGAGTCGGGTGCTGTGGAAGTTGGAAAAAAAAGTCAGTAAAGTCCAGCAGTTTCCCCAGGATGCAGTCATAAGTATATCTTCTGTAGAGCTTGGGGAGCTTATTGGTGTATACATGATGTAACTGATGTTTTAGTTAGCTCATAAAGAGGGAAGCATAGCTGGGTCCCACAGTGATGCCCCTGATCTGGCAGAAGTAGTGACCATTGAACTCAAAAGTGTTTAGAGTGAAACTAACTTCAACATGTACCAAAGAGTCAGAGGTTGTAGTTGGACTGACCCTGCAATCTAGAAAGAATCGCAAAGCCTGAAGACAGTCAGAGTGTGGAATAGAAGTGTACAGAGAGGTCACTTCCAAGGTGAAGATGTGGTACCTGGAAGGAAAGACTTTGAAAAAATATTGCAGCCAGTCATAGATGCAGTCAGAAACACATCATATTTATTACCAGAAAACCAACAGACTAAGATGATTTAGTTATGTTAAATGAAGTCAATCTGAGGGACACAGAAAGCAAACACAAATCTATATGTTAAATGAAAATATGCAATAATATCAAAGCATCTGGCTGACCTGCTCTTCAATGATGTTGTTTATAAGCCCAGCCTGTTCAGCTAGAGCCTGTAGACCCTCTAGAGCCTCAGCTGTATGGGTTGAGGTGTGCACTACCTCTGTTCCTCCACTGCTATCAATAACCAAAGCGTGCATGCCATCGCCATCTCCATTTCCTGCCATGCGAGTCAGATCTTCAATCTTGATGACACTGGCAACACTCATCAAATCTCCAGCCATCTGAACATGACAGGGTTTTTGATTACTGATTATAAACAGTTTTATTTTACAGATACAATATTAATGTTTGTATTATAATGGCATGTTTATTGTAAATTCATATGCATTTATTAAACTTTTATTGTTATTCAACTTAATTATAAATGTATGAGGAACTCAAGAAAGGTTAATACAAATGAGAGAAATGTATGATAAGTGATACTGCGCTTGTGAAGCTATTGAAGTTATGACCAGAACATCTTTGAAACTGCGCATGGTTGTATGATGATAGCCCACACTAGTCAATAATAATGTGGGATAGGGAAGATGGGGGAGGGGGGAGAGGAATAGGGAGAACAAGAGCCATACAAATTAAATGGTAGAACAACTGAACAACTTGGTGTAAGTTATTTGAAACAGTTTGCTCCACTAGGAGATAAAAGGCAGAGAAAAAAAAGGACTCTCACATTTGCTTGGAAACTATCAGGTTAAATAAGAAAACAGACATGCACACACACAAACTAACCTCAGTTGTATTTTCTGACATCTCTGATGCTGTAAAAGACACTGTACTGGTATTGGGTGTCATGACCTGGCTCACTGTCCCAATGATACCACCAACTTCTATAACTTGCCCATCCCCATCATCCTCACCATCTTCCTGGCGGCGGATGTTGATGTTGTGTTTCTTCCGCATGTGCTGAAAGAGATTTCTCCGGCGTGGGTTGACATATCGGCACAGCACACAGGAGTACACTTGGGCTGGAGGGTTTTGATCACTCATATTGTGTCTACAATCATAGAGAAATTCAAAAAGTATTTTATGTACAAGAACTAGAGAAAAGCAAATATCACCAAATGTTTTTAAGGAGTTTTCCAGATTTTCCCTCAGATTCACTGTGACAAAGATCTGTGCAACTATGGTATGTGTTGTGCGCTAAAAGTCACTTTAGTGTATAAGGAGTTAATGAAGCCAAGGGTTAGCCATAGGTTAATGAAGTCTGATGGCTAATTGGTATTCATGATGTGCTGATGGGCTGTGAGTGCAAACACTGTGGCCTCTGGAAGGTCGGAAACATGTGTGACTTGAAATTTATGGGTGGGCTGTGAATCTCGGGTTGTGCGTGGAGTGTGGGATCCATGTTGAGCTGGCTGCTGTTGGAAGAAATGTGTGGCAGGTTTGATTCAGTAGCTCTCAGCCTGTGAGACAGAACGGTCATGTCGTGTGCCCGGTTTAGCCATGTTCTTTTATTCTGTGCAGTGCCTAAACCACGGAAGTTAACCTGGTGTATCATTTGTTGGACTTCTGAATGTGTCAGTGGGATTTTAAAGAATGGACAGTTAAATGTGCGCCAGTGTGTGATGAGGTCTGAAATGCTGCAGCTATATGGCATGCTGGTTGAGGGGTGTTTTTAAGTTCTACAGAAGGTGCTGTGGTAACTCTGGGTGTTGATCAGTGAGTAGACATGTTGGGGAGGTGTCTGGTATAAATACCAGGAATATAAGGGACAAGGTAGCAGACTGCAGTGTGGATTTTCTTTACCTGGTATAGTACATCTACTTTTAGCCCTCTTGTAGTGGGGTATCTTAGATCAGAGCTGCCAGAAGATGGCCACGTTGCATCAGAAAGGTGTATCTGCCCAATCAGGCAGAAGACGCCTGTAGAAATAAGTTAACCGGGGTGTTTTATCTGGGTTCTGGAGACTGCTGATTTGAGTGTGTTTGACAGGAGGTATAGACAGACAGTGAGTCATCAATCTATTCACCATCATTGTGTTTCTCCATAACAAAGAAGATTGAGTGCACATTCAGATCATACTTGAAAAAGTGTACTGTAGTATTCCTGGACTGTGGTAGTAGTTGTGATGCAACTTGTTAATAGTGCCTGGCTTATTGTGATTCTCCTGCTGTTGTTGGCTCTGCCTTGCTCTTCTGTAGGAATCCAACAGCCACTGTTTGTCATTGACATGTATGTAAAGTAGGGCTGTACCGAATAGTGATTTTCACTATTCGGCGAAATACGAATAGCTGGACCAACTATTCGGCAGAATACGAATACCAATAGTGAATCATCATCATCATGTGCTTTGCCGGCTGGCATTGGCGATTATGCCTCGCCACAATCTGCGATCTCCTGCAGCACGTATTAGTTCGTGCGCTGACACACCTCCATGAAAAACCTTCGTTCCATGTTGTCAGCATTAGGCCAGCTTTTTGTCTCACTGAAGGTATTTCCAGCTGTACTAAACAGGAAAATACGACAAATACAGAGAGTCAAAATGAAAACCCGCAAGGCGAAACATCAAAAACAAAAATAACGCTGACGAAGAAAACAATGCCATCCTTACAAGTCGCCCAGCCCCCCGCGAGCTCACGAAACCAGACGCCGGGCGGCCAACGCCAGAAGATCAAACAACAAAGACAATCAAGAAACCGAAAGTCGATCAAAACATTCAGCCGCTGCCGTTTCAACAAGATGACGAAAGAACAGATATAACACCCATAAATGATGACGAACTCCCGTTACTTCAAAGAATCAACGAAGAGGACATTCCACTCCAAGAAATCAAGCCGACAACACTAGAACACTTGCTTTTCTGCCCCTCTTACATTTTAAAGTGTTGCATTTTGTTTCTACAGCAACACACCTAAGAACACTATACTCGCAACACATGCAAGATGGAAATAAAGGGGCACTTGGTACGCTATTAGGTGGTGCACAAAGATAACGCTTCACAGTATAAACCAAAGTAGGAAGTCTTGATGTTTTTTTTCTACCAGTCCAGAAATGGTTGTGAGGTAACCACTATTCGTATTCGGCCCGACCGCAACTATTCAGCAGAATACTGAATAGTTATTGGGTCCACTATTCGGCCCCGAAGCGAATACGAAGCGAATATTCCGTACATCCCTAATGTAAAGTACTGACATTGTGAACTCTCCCCTAGATTCTTGGTAGGTGTGTGATGCATTTCCTGTGTGGCATGCTAAAGTATGCTTAAAGCATTTATGGTGAATATATTAGGAGACACACAAAGTAACAAGACGCCTGCCTGCCAACTCTCAAGCAGTCTAAAACTGGTATCAGGAAATGATACCAGTTGGGAAGTAAAAGTGGAGGGCATGATGCTAACAACATTGCCTGTCAAGTGCTAACTGGTCTTAAACTTGGTCAAGAAAATGTGAAGACACAACATGTCCCATATATACCATAGGCCTATATTTGCCTTTATTTACCTTTACCTTCAGTGGACCCAACAATTTCAGAGGCACAAACAGCATATAAAAAAAAAAATGCCATCACAAAGAGGAGATGTTACTGGTAAAGGACATATCTAGAGCAAGTAAAATAGAATTACGTTGTAACATTGCTAGTAATGGACTAATTTACACAGTACCAAAAAAAATACTGTTGTAACATTAGTGGTAAAGGACTAATTTACACAGGATGTTAAGAAAAACACCATTACAAAGAGGTTTTTAGTTACTGGTAGGGACACATATAGAACCAGGTAAAAAAACAAAACAAGAACACCACCATTACAAAGAGATGTTCTGTTACTGGTGGGACACATATAGAGCCAGTATTTAAAAAAAATCACCATTACAAAGAGATGTTCAGTTACTGGTAAAGGACACATATAGAACAAGTTAAAAAAAAATCACCATTACAAAGAGGTGTTCGGTTACTGGTAAAGGACACATATAGAATAAGTTTAAAAAAAATATAATAATAATAACACCATTACAATGAGGTGTTCAGTTACTGACAGGGACTCTGGATGTTTTCTTCGGCTGAACTCAAAAAACAAAAAACAATAAATACACATGGGATGTTCCTCTCACCTTCTCATGTGCACTAGCAGATTTTTCTTGTTGCTGGTCGTGAATTTACAGACCACACAGCAGAAAAGACCATCAGTCTGTGTAGGCATGATGTCTCCATGTTGAGTGTGGAGATGTTTGTACAGGTTGATCAGCTTGGCAAATCTGGGGACAGCCATTAAGCAGAACTATTACATGGCATATCAGTTTATAAGTGTGCACCATGGCCTATTATTTTAGATGTCTAAAAAACTGTGTCACAGACACAGACTTATTATTAGTCTATAACAAACTGTCACATGGCCTGTCACTGGTATATCAGTGTTAAAAAAAACAAAACATGTATTCTAGTGTCTAACGAACTGTGTCACATGACTGGGATTTTAGTGTCTAACAAACTGTCTCATGACTTTTAGTGTCTAACAAACTGTCACACATAACTTCTCACTTGCATATTCGTACAAAGTAGTCACAGGTTTACTGGTCTGTAATTAAATACATCACATGACACATCACTGATATATTAGTGTAGGCAAAAATTGCACCATCATCAAGTGCCTTGCCGACTGGCATTGGTGATCATGCCTCTCTACAATCTGTGATCTTCAACAACAAAAAGTATCAGTTCCCGTGTTGACACCACTCTGTGCCATTACAAAATGCTGTCAAAACTCGTTATCTTCCTGTGTCTTTTTCCACAGATCTTTCCAGTTGTTGCAACATGTTCCATTTTCTTTGTCTCATTTACACAGAAGGTTCAGTGTCAAGAGGCAAAAGAAGTGCTTGGGGCTCCTTAGCAAAAGTTAATGGTCGACGTTTGGTGCAGGAGAGCCTAGCATATGATACACAACATCCAATTTAAGAATGGAGGTGGATGCGGTCACTGCAGCTTTCCGCTGGCTAGAGAACATGACACACACACATTGTAATTGTAACTGATTCAGAAAGCATGCTGAGGAAGATCAGAACAGGTATGCTTCCTGCAGAGTGGCATGCTTCGCTGCGGAAGACACGAGTGAGGAGTATTGTCTGGATTTGTTCACCGGGTTACGTCTATGTGTTGGGAAATGAACAGGCAGACAGACTGGCTGGCTCTGCACAACTTGGTGGAATACTGCTACATGATAGGGCATACGTGGTTAGTGCCTTGTGGGAGAGCGTGTACAATGCGGAGGAGCAGATGGATCACCACAGTCTGGTGAGATTGATGCAGTTAGGGATGACGAGAAGTTCTGGTAGAAGCTCAAGGCTAAGAGGAAAGGCAAGACGGACGTTTAATGAGAAAGCTACTGGCACCTTTAGTATCGGAACTCTTCGCTGGCTGCTGAAGATGGGGACAGAGCGCTTATGGGAATGCCCAGAGTGCTGTGATGTCGGTTCTTGAATCAAATCAATCTATTTCTTTGTCTCATAACATGACCAAGAAATCACGAGTGTCTCTTTATGATTTTTGTAATAAGCCCTCGCCTCTTTCAAAACATCTGGGTTGCTCTTTCTGGCTGTTCAAGGAATTGTAAAGATTCTTCTTTAAAACTACATCTCTGATGCTTCAAGAAATTGATTGGCTTGTTGATTAATTGTCCAGGATTCACAGCCACATGTTAAATTGGCTCTATTAAGCATGCTGTAATTCTTTCCTTATCTCCAATGACATAGATTTATTGCATAACGGTATAAACCCACCTCATTGTGCAGTGGTTGCAGGCAAAAATTTTATCCCCAGTGGTGAAGTCAACCTTTTCCTTGGAACCATCTTCTGCTAATCCCTTCTTGTGACGTTTCCATGCTGAAATACAAACTCTTTCTAAAATTTTTATACACAATATAAAATAAAGTTACTAGTTGTTTCTTTAAATGACACCGCAAAACAACTCCCAGCATATTTACTGACTGTTTAAGTGACTTTACTGGGCAATTTTACATTCAATAGACTGCCACTGTTTTCTGAACAGTCAACGCGCACATTCGTATCAAAATCAATGCAAAATGTTTCCCAGAAATCATCTGCAGTTAAAATGAGCCCGGTGTGCTGGAATTATGAAAATACTTTCATAACCTACAAGCTAAAGATGCTGACTGTAAACTACACAGACTGTGCTTGAAGATTACAATATTTTTCTGGCCAAAAAAAACAAACCAACCAATAACTGTAGAGATTGCTTTACTAAGTCCTGAAAAGCTATTTTGTTCTAGTAATACAGGTCAAAAGTAAAGGACTATTTTCCGTGCCTTCAGGTGTATTGGGTACAAAGGGCTGGACCTATATTTTATAGACCAAATGGGCAAATATGCACATCTGTTTTACAAATCTAGATTATTTGTATGCAGACTTCTGGCTGCTTGTCTATGTGACGAAATGACCTCAGTGGTCTCAGAAGTTATATTGTGTTTGATAATTTCTTATGTTCAGAGAAGGACAAAGAATTATAAGCAATATACACTGAGCCTAAAATAGTTCTAAAACCACTACAAGGAATTTGAGAATTGTTTAAACTTTGTTTCCAGTCCCTTGCCAGACAAAGCAACCTTGCTTTATGTAATGTTACCTAATACCACTGTAGCTAGAGATTCACCAGCCCAGGTCATATTATTATCTCCTGCCCAGTCTGTAGAGGCGAGTAAAGGGGGAGATAACTTCGTATCACACCTGAGATTAGCTCATCTGAACCCGACCGTAGTGTCATAAAAGTTACATAACACAGACTGAGTGGCTCCTTTGAACGACTAGATCAGGGGAATTAAGTGGTCTGGGAGACATTTCTAGACAGGATGGCGTCCAGCGTCTGAAGTTTCACACATGATAGTGAAATTCTCAAGAGAACAGATGTTTGGCAATTAGGAATGTTTAATCTTGGTCAAGGCCCATTGATAGCTAGGTTGATCTGCTACGTACCTCAGAGGCGGGGCTTAAGTCATCTCCTGGAGGGTTGGGTAGAACCTAGGAGAGGGTGGAGTTTAACCTTGCAGACAGACAGTTAGGGGTATTAATAATACTAGCCTGTGGAATTCCCGTCATAATCGCAGCCATGAGCAACAAACTGAGGTCGCAAATTTGAGATAATTCTGATTGTTGATTCTGGTTTGGCGATTGCTGGAATATCCCAGGTAAGCATGTACAATTATTTTCAATCTTGTATACATAGGTTAGGGAGTTAGCTAAAGTCTATTCTACCTTTTCCTAATTGTTCTACACATTCTGCTTGAAATAGTTCTTTGTGAGTATTCAGTATCTCAGTTAGGGAACTGCTAAACTTTTTCTATTTCTTGTATGTTTGTGGCACATGTTTTTCAGTGTATGTTTTCATGTTTATAAAATAAGACTTGTATACTGAAATGTAATGAAATTATAATGTTTCAACCATCAACCAAAATATGAGTTTGGACTGTGGGAAATGATGCCCACATATGCAGCTATGCTATTACATTTTGTGTGCCCACCATGTGCTCACTTAATGTGTTCACCTAAACAGGGGATTTATAACCCCAGGGGAAGAATCATGAGTGTATATTATTCACTGTCACTGAAAGATAATATTCAGGACAGCATGCTCGTATAAAATGTTTTGCGTGTTTAGCGCATAACCTGCGCCACATGTTTATGTCAAATCAATGTCAGCAAGTTGGAAGTCTGAGTGATGACGGACAACAGAAAGTCAACTATCATAACAGAACCTTAGAGGGAAGGCAGGATATGTGAGACATCGGTGTGAGACACAAAGACCTTCAGAACAGACTGGAGAGAATGTGGAATATGAGGAGGAGTGATGAGATTTAATGTATTATTATAAAGTGTATTAATTGACACATGTATTCTTAGTGTAAGTCAAGATACTACACGTATGTGTTTGTTTCCATTATTGCAGCTCCCATGTGGGTGAGGATCAGTCTTTTCTAAGAACAGAAATAGAGGGTCATCACGGTCACGAGACTACATTGTGCTAGAAACAGGTGGGAACCAGGTGGAAGGACCAGGAGAACTGGGCGGAAAGATTGGAACAGCCAAGAAGGGACTCAACATCAGGACTCTCAGAGGTTCCACTTTCTAAAAAGTTATGTAACATGTATTTATGTAACTAAACACCACCATTATCATTTATTCTAATCTTAGGTGCTCAGTTAGCTGAAGCATATCATTACCACCATACCATTCCTATTGACTAAAAATATGAAGAACTAAAATGGTTGTTAGGATAATAAATCAAGTATATGGTCTTATCCTGCATCAGTTTTTATAATTCCAAGTGTGTCTGTTCTTACATGTTTAATTAAACTGTTAAGATAGAATAGGATTTGGTGGGAGCTCATTAAATAATAAAATTTCTTTACCAAGAGAAGGTCGACGGATTGGGTCAACTGCCCTGTCTAATAACTCATTCAATATAAGTATATATATATATATAGACATCTAAAACCCATTTCCTTCTCTTGTGGATACCAAGTTCAGCTAAAGTTAATATAAATAACGAGCCAATATGGCTGTTTTCTTGGATATCCAGGACTTTGTCTGAGAGCAACATAGCCCGGATATTAGTTCAGTTAATCTGGTGGAGGGGATGTGTTGAGAGGAAAATCCCTACTCAACATATAAATCATTTAAACTCAAATCCAGAGAACCCACGACCCGGGACGACACACTAAAAGTGTTGTAATTTCCAAGGGAGTGGGACGCAACGTCACAGTCTATCAGGAAGATGCACTCTGACTTCGAATGATGCCCCAATTAGTTGAATCTTTCAACATTCTTGTTTTCCACAACGGGGCCCCAAAACCTACATAAGTAGAATTTGCTAATAAGAATTGAAGAATGCTCTGTATATCTGAAAAAAGAAGATGAAGATCAGCAACTCCTTTAAAGAACATCGCTATCTTCACGGAACGCCTGAAAGTATCCCCTTCCCTAGCCAACTCTCCAGCCCCAATGTCAATGCTTCTTCAATGTCCTGTAACCATCTTCGGAAGGTCGTGGGTTCGGGTCCTGGCAGGGGCAGGAATTTTTCAAAAATGACCTTGGCTCCCAGGTCAACCCAGCCTTGAGGTGTGTACCAGATACACTATTTGATACAGTGGAAATATGGACCATGAGTTTAATAAAATAAAAAAGATGTAGAGATTAAAAAGTAAGCTTTCAAACTCAAATTCCTCAATGATAACAACAAGAGCCTTGTGTGGCAGTAAAAATATGTATGAGGAAGCCTTAAAAAAGCCAAAAATAAATAAAGTTAAGAAAGAAAAAGTACTACCGCCACACGATATAACACAACAATTTATTGAAACTATAATAAAGAAGCCTAAGCATATCAGAGATTTAAATCTATCAGGCTGTCTCTTTTACCCCCCCCCCCCCCACAAATATAAATACCCCAGTACTTACGCCGCTTGCCTTCTCGTTTGATGTCTATCTTGTGCTGTGTCCGTAAATGCCTCAACACATGTTCTTTCTGTGCTGCCCTGTAGTTGCAAACACTACACTGAAATGGTTTCATTTTAGAATGAATGGCTGTGTGGCGCTTCAGTCGACTCTGGCAGTCGGTAACAAAGCTACACTCTTTACAAAACAGCTTCAGCTCTGGTCCATCTCTGTGGAACTTCAAATGTTGTTTGAGGTCTTTCCTGTTCCCAACCTGGATACTGCACTCTGGGCACGTGACCATCTCACCAGAGTTTTCATTGGAATGTTTACGTCTGATATGCATTTTCAGGTCTGGCTGTTCATTGGCACAGATGTAGTCACACAGTGGACATTTGATGCTCTTCTCCTGTACAAACAATCAGTGAGGTTATGTAGCATTTTGCTAGTCAGGCATTACACCACTAACTTATTACAGCTGGAATACATATCTGAGCTCTACTGCATCACTGAGACATACTATATGGCTCAGGGGTTAGAGAACCTGCTTCACAATTCAAGAGAACTAGGTTAGATATTCACGCCGTGAAGTCAGACCATGGTGTAAAAGTTATGCTACAAAGAGATTAGGACCTGCCTACACAATACTCCCCAAGACACCAGTGAATGCACATTTACATTGTAGCCAACCTCCAATGTAGAGAGAGCACACAATAATGTACACTACAAATATTAGAACTGCATTCCAGTATTAACAGTTTGGCATATACACAAGCACATCATGAGAACATATAAGCAGAGACTCACCAAACAGGCACTAAAATGGGAAGTAAAGGGATTGAGGAAGTGAGGAGATCTAAAAGAATCGCTAAATCAAACACTAATGAGAGGCCAAAGATGCTAGACTAAACTGCATCCATTTTATTAATCTGATCGCATAGGATAGAACAGAATGGGGGAATGGACTGCAAGCCCTGTGTGACAGGGCACAACATCACGATGATGACAATGACATACACTAGCATAAAACAAAGTAAGCTCTCTGTCATAATCTACCGAAATAGAAGGAAATATGACAGACAAGCTTAATAACTAACTCATAAGGCGCTGATAAATTTAGGTTTTGAACAACAGATCAACATCATGGCACACGGGTAGCAACCCATAAGTGTTCTGTTCTTCTTTCTAACTCAAGTTTGAATCCAAAGAAGCTCAGCACAGGCTCTGTAGCACCAACGAGGATCCTGAAATACTTTGGGTAGATTTTTAACGAGGCGGACACCATGCCTTGAGACCATGCAGCCCCATCAGGCTGATAAATAAGGGGAGAAAAAAGCGTTGCAAAATTTAAATTATACACCAAGGAAATTATTATGGTCATGACAGCAGTTTCTAATTTCCCTCACTTCTTCTCTGTCAACATCTAACTAACAATAGCATAAGCAAAGTAAAAGAAAGGGACGCTATTTAGGGTCATATGGTGCTGGACTTGTATTTTATGGACCAAACAGAACTCGATCGACAATGTAGTCAGCATAACCCCAGCTGCCTTTACTTCCAAGGGTGTTACCTGGTACTGATTTTAGGCTGGGTCAACCTGGGAGCCAAGATCAATTTTTGAAAAGGAATCACATCTTTTGCTAATTCTCTTCTTATTCAAAGGATAAAAAAAACTGAGATACAAAGCACACAAAAAAACTAATGAAAAACAAAAACAATACCCCAAACCGCAGGTTTTTTTTTTTTTAAACATTTCTTTTTGTGTGTTTTTATGAATGACAGTACAATACCTATTCATTCTGTTTTTCTGATCACAACACAGAAATACTGAATGTTAATTTAGGATTTTGTGCTTATATTAATTAATATTCATTATCTTAATTTTCAGTGTGCAATGGCAATGATGCTGTTTAAAGATTAAAACTTTTAATGAAAAAAGTATTCTGAGCTTTGCTGCTGTATTTATATGAAAATGAAGAAAGAAATATAGACGCATAAAAGAACAAGCTTATCACTTCATCTTTTTTTGTTCTTCTTCTTCTGCATTTGCCCTGAAAAGGGAAGTTGGTATACTGTACTGTGGTCTACAGCTAGGCTGCGATATCTGCACCTTTCAGGTCAACACATCAGATTTTAAAAAAATCATTAATTAGTTGCCTTTTATAATATGGCTGGTGGTGGTGGTGGGGGAATGGATCTATTCTTTATTCCCCCAAAATGGGAGACTGGAATTCACTTGGGGATCTGTATGTTCAGTTAAATAAGATTTCCAAGGGAGTGTTACGTAAGTCTTTTTTTTTTAAAAGGAGGCCAATGGGCCATTAGTTGTGAGAATATATGCTCTATGTTATGACTGCTACTACCTCATGCTTGTATTTAATGTGCCGCTCCAGGTGAATCTTTTGCCGGAAGCAGAGGCCACAGATGTCACACCTGTGTTCTCGGATGTCCTTGTGTATGCCCATGTGTCTCTTCAGGTTGCTGCTAGTTCCTGCCTTGTACTCGCACACACTACACGTGTGAGGCTTGGCTCCTTTTAGAACAAACCACAACTTATTCAAGATCAATATACACAGCTGCTTAGTATCCATATTTTTAATACAAGTGTAAGTGATACTCTGAATGTTTTAAGATGCATGCTCATGTGTTGCTGCCATTTATCAGCGATACTCTGAAGGTTTCAAGATGCATGCTCATGTGCAGCTGCCATATATCAGCACACACTTCACATATCAGACTTTTCTTATTTCACAATCACATTTTTACACCCCTCCCCCCCAGATTAGGTTTCCTCATCAGTGTACACATTTCCCCCAAATGTGCTTTTCTTTAACACAATTTCTTAGTGTTTCTTAGTGCACTTATGCTGCTGATTCCTGTCCGTATTGGCTGATTAGTGATTGTGAGCTCTTGCATTGCATTCACGTCCCACTGCTTCGAATGGTATATATCTAGACTTTTCATTTACATCAGAGAAAAATCAGCCTCTTGATGTCCGAGGGTGGCTCAACATTAGATTTTAATTAGGTTATGTTATCACAATCAACGCCACTGCACTTTTGGCATTCTTATATGTGCTCAGTCCTCCAGTGCAGCAACCACCCCAAGGTATTTCTACTAATTGTTCCCATAAGAGGTTGGCTATAATGTTTGCTATCTCGGTCTGGATGACCGCATAGACATGCTTCACCATGCATTACTCACTTAGCCTGTGTGCAGTTTTGATATTTAGCATCAATGTTATTGATCTAGTACCCTGAATCAACATGTGGGCACACACAAAGACAATGAAACAACTGTATAAATGTACATGAAACCAGTCCATTAAAAGTAAATTTATGTTCAGAGCTATATGTTCACGAGAACATAATCACAGACTAAAGCAAACTTACATTTTCTTCATAACAAATATTTACCCTCTACCAGACTCAGGAATGGCAGATTTTTTCCAACCCCAGCATCAGATAATTTCTAGAATTTTCAGGGAACTACAAAGAAAGGATAGGCGAATGGAACTTGCCACCATACCTACATGTTATAGCCTAGAATGTGTGAAGGTCTAATGCTTTAAACCCTTAGAGCAGCATCTGCTATGTGACTGCCTGATTTGTATGAGCCTAGCAACATAGGCTTAGGTGCCACTAGCATAAAAAGAGCCTTTTTAAAAAAAAAAAGATTTCATGAGCACTTTTTACAGACAACAGCGTTTCATTGTGCTACAGGGTGTATGACAATTACAGTTCAAGGCTTAGGTAACTAATATGACCATCCTTTTTTAAGAAGAATCTTCCATAATAAATTCACATCAATACATGTATTATTCATGTCCCGCTTGTTCACATCTTTAAATCATAGTAGAGACCTACCCCAACATCTTTTACTCATCTATAATTCACCATAAAGCATGTCTTTACAGACTCTTACCACCCTCCCAACGCCATCTGTGCTGTGACAATTTCATTTATAGATAAACTTAAGACTGCTCCTATCAGCCGGATGAAAAGAGTGATCCATGTCAGCTATGACAGACAAACATACCTGTGTGGGACTTCCGGTGCTTATAAAAGTTGGCCTTTCTGTCAGTCTGATAGTCACACTTTTCACAGCAATACATGCCATTATCATTGACAACCCAGCATGCAGCACTGGAGTACTGGAAAGGGACAATGCACAATTAAACACTTCCTTTGCATTTGAATAATGATTTAATTACTCTTTCATGAGATGATCTCCATGACAGAGTGGTCAAGCAATTTGTCTCACACTCTGAAGGTGGTGGGTTCTTTCCAGGGTTTCACCGTTCAGTTCATGTTTACAATTTCTATGAATGTCTCTTAGGATTTTGGTTGAAGCAACAGAGTTCGTGCTTCGTTTGACGCTTTCACCAGGTGGCCTGCTGTTCTGCTGAGAGATTCAGAGAGACAAGCGATAAAACCTGACGCAATGGAGTTCATCCTCTCAACTTTAACCTTTTAAACTCCCTCATGACGTGTGAGAACCTGTAAAAACCTATTACCTCAGGATGTGTGAGAATAATGAATTAACCCACACACCTAAAATATAAGTATAGCCCTATATGCCCAATATGCATGAAAGGTGTGCAAAAGGGTCCTTTACTTTTACCAAGGGTGTGAGAGAATAATGAATAAATTACCACACTATCAGAAGCTGCAAGAATAATGAATAAATCACCACACTATCAGAAGCTGCAAGAATAATGAATAAATCACCACACCATCAGAAACTGCAAGAATAATGAATAAATCACCACACCATCAGAAGCTGCAAGAATAATGAACAGAACACGCCTGAAAGATTCTATACTGAAATGACATACTTGAAAATCACAGAAAATCATCGTTGTATAACAGCTAAAACAAAGCAGCCTGAGGTCATTACACAGCTACATGCAGCTTTAGTGCTGGCAAATGGACAACAGAAGGAAGACAAGACTAGGAATGCAGCTATCAGGTATATTTCGTGTGATAAGTAAATGTGTGTGCATATGTTTCCAAACGTACGTGTATACACAGAAATATGTGAGTGTGTGCAGCATGAACTCCCTCCAGAGGGTTTGATCAGCAGGGAGGAAAAAAAACTGAGAGCCTCGGACCTTTTTGGTTTCCCCTTTTAAATGATTAAACAGATGGGCATATATATATCCTGAATGTTTGTTTCAATGGCCAATATTCACTGTGGATGATATCATCTGCCCACAGCAGCTCTATATGTGCTGTCCTGGCACAACCCTGCTCTGCAGAATGCTGTTAACATGTGTGCGATATTTCCCATTAAGGACATATGTGTGAAAGAAAGCAAATATTCTTGAGCTAAATATGCTGCCGTTACTGGTGTGTTGTCTGTAAATGAGAGAATCTAGATTTTAAGTCTTTCTCTATCTCTGCAGAAAGAGGATATTTTCAAGAATGAAGCCATGGCTATTTGTTCTTCTTCTAGCAAGAAGTTTGATACCTAACCCCATGTCCTGAACTCAGATAACAGACGTATTCAACAGACACAGCTCTCTCACTCCTTAAATACAGGTTTCCCTGATAAATGATTACTCACTTTTAAGATAACAATTAAAGGTCTTCGACTCCTAATTTAGATAATGGATACGGATCTTACACTTCTTAGGGAGCCACCACAGTGCTGTGGTTAGAAACTTGCCTGCAGATCTGATAAAATGTATCCTTGGCAATGATGTCCTTAAATTGGTCAGATCACATAATTATAACATCCACAGAGCTTTTGTAACCAGCAATTTTACAATAAGAATTATTTTCATCCATCAAATCCGAAGTGAAACAGTAAAAATGATACTGAAGATCAATGAACAGACATACCATACTTGTCTTAGACTTTGCCATAATGCCTTTATTTGGAACCACGGAAACATAGTATACATGTTTCTTCTCCGAGCCCTCATCAACCACTGTGGTTAGTGTATGCGTGGTTGTTGCGTTTGTACCAGCCACACCGGTGCTCTGAATTTTCGGGGAGTAGACTGTCTGCGTGCTTGATGACTGCCTGGGAAGATAATATGAGTTGTACATGACTTTTCTAATGTGCTTCTATACAGCAGACAGAACAAATCAAAGACAATGCTAAATCTGTTGTAAAAATCAATACATGTGTAGCTTGGTGGCCTAAAATGAGTATCTAAAATGTCCTGGGAAGTAAAAGGGACGAATGGTCTATAAGAATACGAGTTTAGCAAAATGTGCCTGATGTGCTACCGTCATTTGTTTTTAAAAGAGTCCATTTTTCAAATTTTTACATACCTCAATTTTACAGAGCCCTGTCTATTGGTCTTATTAAAAGATTCTTTTAAAAACCATACTGAAGGGAATAGTTGAGTGCAAGAGGTAGACAATGATACAAGTGGGATGACAGCATCAAGAAATGGATGAACAGTCTGAGAAAATATACTATCAAGACAAGAGACAAAAAGTAGTGGAGATCCATTGCAGCCAACCTTCCCTGTGGAGATGGCACCAGGACTGATTGCTTTAAAAGATATCTGAAGCATCTGAAGGATATCTGAGGCATCCAAAGGATATTAGAAGTGTAAAGGTTTAAAATGCCAAATTGTTGGCACAGGACTGCATGGAGACTCTGCAATCTGTGGAACACACTAAGGAACAGGAATATCAGTTTTCACCATGGATATGGCAACCACTCAGGAAGACAGAGATGGGCTGAGTCCGAAGACAGTGGAGTCTCTAAAGCGGTTGGGGTTGAAACATATCAGTTTCAAATATTTGTGCCAGGACAAGAAAGGCGTTCAAGGAAATGGACAATCTGATAGGCTTGCAGGTAAAGCTACAGAGGAGGGCAGACAAGCCATGGACCAGGCAGGTATTCTGAATGCTCTACAAGAAGTAAGATGTGTGACAACCAAGCGATGACATGACTGTGGATCTGCAACCATGACCAGACTGAAAGAACATGTTAAAAAGGGTGTGACCAGACAAGTGCACTATGCAGGAAGCCAAAGAAGAATAAGAAACCAACACAGAACTGGTGTCATGAGCCGCTACATGTTGCAGTGTTACTAAGGGGGAGATATGACCACTTAGAGACCGAATAGTTTGATGTGCAATGAGGATAATCTGTCAACTAACTAACTCAGTTTGCCTCTCATGAGCACCATGCTATTTAGAACAGTATTGCAACCGCTCTCCGACCTGTTGATGATTAACTAGACAAATATTGTAAAATATACACAAAATGTATGAGGCTCACTTTTCAATTCCCAGCTTCATTTCTCCTGTGTCGTCTCCTGTTTCTTGTTTAATTTCTGCTTCTACTTCATCTGCGATGCCCGCCGACTGCTTCAGCTGGTTCATTCAACAGTAAGAAGACAAGTTCAATATTACACACTTTTGTTACTCAATAAAATAAATCATTTGCAACCTGCATCTTAAAGAATTCCCCAGAAGTTCAAAATCTGCTTCACAATATTGTGAACTTAATGATAATAAAGTTCAACTAACGCAAAGATTATGAATTTACAGATGGAAAAAATATGCAATCTAATGCATTTTCAAAAACAATATAATGAGATTGGTGCATAAGTATAATTTCAGGAGTTTGACATTTTCCTACAAACTAAACTGACAAAGGAATAATAAACTGGATGCCTATGCAAGGTGAATATTCATCAACAGTCTGAAATCGAACAGACCAGTCACTTCAAAACTGTGTGTGCACGGCGCCCCCGGGGAGTCATGACCTCTTCACAGGGGCACCACCAAATATTCGAAGATACGCAAGTTTTAAAAAAATAAATCTCTAACATAAGAATAGTCAGACTTTTACCTAGGTTAGGACGCTGATAAAAATTTTTTATTGAAAAATGGCGCTGCAACTAAGAAAAGTTTTGTAAACACTGGAATAGACCCTTTAAAAAAACAATGTCTTTTACTCCTCTTATTATACAATGTTGTATTGTTCCAATAATAACAGTAGCAGCTGATAAATTTGCTGTTAATACCAATTTTTTGCTATCAATATTAGACAAGGACAGTCCTATAAAACATATAGGCAAAATTACAACATGTGAGATGAGACGTACCAGAAATGCAACAGAAAAACAAGAAGAGACAGTAACCAACAAATAACAAAGAACAATGGTAGGCACAGTGCCACTAAACGATTTCACAGAATATCAAAAAATAAAAAGAGTTGGTCATCTCTGGTCAGAATGAAACAAATCAGCTAGAGGATACTACAAGAGAACAGCAGGCTACAAGTCAAGAAAAGGATGAGTGGAAGGAGTAACAGAGACACTACAGAAACACAACATGACTTGACAACAAGCTACAAGACCAGCAAAAGACAGGAAACATCTAACTCCTCTGTGTGATGCTTTACGGCACAAGCAGTAGGACAAAAGAAGATAAGCATGCCAGTTCAGTCCGTTCTACTAACTACTGTACAAGGCTTTCGTCAGCCCTTTAACCATTCTACTAACTACTGTACAAGGCTTTGGTCAGCACTTTAACCGTTCTACTATTGTACAAGGCTTTGGTCAGCACTTTAACCGTTCTACTAACTACTGTACAAGGCTTTGGTCAGCACTATAACCGTTCTACTAACTATTGTACAAGGCTTTGGTCAGCACTTTAACTGTTTTACTAACTACTGTACAAGGCTTTGGTCAGCACTTTAATTGTTCTACTAACTACTGTACAAGGCTTTGGTCAGCACTTTAACCATTCTACTAACTATTGTACAAGGCTTTGGTCAGCACTTTAACTGTTTTACTAACTACTGTACAAGGCTTTGGTCAGCACTTTAACCATTCTACTAACTACTGTACAAGGCTTTGGTCAGCACTTTAACCGTTCTACTAACTACTGTACAAGGCTTTGGTCAGCACTATAACCGTTCTACTAACTATTGTACAAGGCTTTGGTCAGCACTTTAACTGTTTTACTAACTACTGTACAAGGCTTTGGTCAGCACTTTAATTGTTCTACTAACTACTGTACAAGGCTTTGGTCAGCACTTTAACCGTTCTACTAACTATTGTACAAGGCTTTGGTCAGCACTTTAACTGTTCTACTAACTACTGTACAAGGCTTTGGTCAGCACTTTAACTGTTCTACTAACTACTGTACAAGGCTTTGGTCAGCACTTTAACTTTTACTAACTACTGTACAAGGCTTTGGTCAGCACTTTAACTGTTTTACTAACTACTGTACAAGGCCAGCACTTTAATGTTCTAATTACTACTGTACAAGGCTTTGGTCAGCACTTTAACCGTTCTACTAACTATTGTACAAGGCTTTGGTCAGCACTTTAACTGTTTTACTAACTACTGTACAAGGCTTTGGTCAGCACTTTAACTGTTCTACCAACTACTGTACAAGGCTTTGGTCAGCACTTTAACTGTTATACCAACTACTGTACAAGGCTTTGGTCAGCACTTTAACTGTTATACCAACTACTGTACAAGGCTTTGGTCAGCACTTTAACTGTTATACCAACTGCAAACTTTAAGAAAAAGTTCTGATTGTTCATCCACTTTTGGAATTTAGTCTTGTTCCAAAACCTGAGTTTTGCACGAAAATCAGTTTACAGATATGGTTTATTTGTGTGCAGACTTTTGGTTCTTCACCTCTCAGGTGAGACACACTATATATTTTAAAGAAAGAAAAAACAGCCACCACATTAATTGACTTTAATGACATGCTTGTTTGGGATGCAGTGAGTCCTTTTTTTCCCCCATAATGGGACCCTGGAATCCACACACGGATTACAGGGCAATGACACATGTCCCACCCAACCAAGGTGTTATGATGGTGGCATTTGTATGTACTATGCTATCAGAACTAAAGAATCAGTAATGCAACCAGATATTCTGCATTAATAAGAGAATTCTAAAGCCATACCTGTAGTATCTGCGCAGCAGCACTGTCAATGATTTCCTCTGTGACCTCCTCCTCTGACACAATCCTTACGTCATACTCTACTCCATTATCAACAACTGTAATCTTCTTAATAAACTCATCTTTCCTGGCACCCACAACTTCTGATAGCAGACTGGTAACAGCACTGCTAAGATTACTTCTGTCTGTCAATGTATTCTGTTCAGCAGATGTAATTTCTGTCAATACTGGAACATCTTCTGATGAAGTGCTGGTCTGCATTTCTTTAGAGTAAACATTTGTTTGATCTGGGTGTGTTGATGATATTTCTGGCGAATTATCACTAGTATGTATTACAAGGCTATCTTCGAGAATATCAGTGCTTCCTAGAAGATCCGGCGCTGGAATCTGGTCAAGGGAATGTGCTGTGCTGTGCTGCCCAGTTTCAGCTTCTAAAGATTCACCAAGAGCACTATCAGAACCAAGATCTTTGGACAGTTTGTCATCATGTCCATCCACAGACAGCTCACTAGTATTTATTTCGACTGTCTTATTTTCAGAACTACTGTCGACAACCACATTGGAGGACACAACTATCACTTCACTACTGCCATTGTATGACATCTCAGACATATCAAGATGTAAACTAGACTCTGAGATGTCTTGCTGGGAAGCTTGCTCTTCGTTTCCATTATTAGCTTCAATATCATTTACATCTGATACTTGTGTTGAACATTCCCTTGTTCGAACTAACTCATTCATACTGACTACATTTGACTGCATTTTCAGTTTCTGAAGAAGGATTTGTGAAGCAGTTTTGGGCACTGGGGAAACAGTCTTATCGCTGTCATCTATGGAGCATGCTGAAGTGATTTCATGTGCAGGCTGAGCTTGTGAAACATTAATTAAGGTCAGCGCGTTCTCATCCTGAGTTGTCATGACTTGAGGTGCACCTGTAGATGTTTTCTGGGACAGCTTTTGTCTGATCACAATTGTCTGAGGTGACTGTCCCAAGTGTGACGAAGCAACTGCAGCTGGCAGAGTTACTGATTTTGGAGCTAAGTATCTAGAATTAGCAGCCTGTGGCTTTTTGGAGCCGAACAGAGAGTATGTGACTGTTGGTTCTTCCTGCATTACTCGTGGAGGAACTAAAGTGGTTTTTACAATCATGCTTCCAACAGGGTTTCTCAAGACCCGCCCATGACTTTTCAAAGGGTTGTTCGACTTGGCAGAAGTGTTGACATGCTTCCCTTTCAGAATAGAAGAAATGTTGGTGGCTTCTACAGAAAGATTCAAGTATGTGGCACCATCATGCCCTATGACGGTGGCAAATGGTGCTTCTACAAAGTCTCTTCTCACCACATGTCCAGCACCACGGACTACAGGACTCACAGTCACCAAGTCTGCATAATGTTGTTTACGCTGCTCAGAATCAACAACCTCAAGTGACACTCCCTGCTCCTGAGCATGAGAGCCCATACTTATAAGTGCTTGTGAAATCTGATCTCGCATTGGACTGGATGAAATAGTGACCACAGCAACAGTTTCTCCATCATGCTCTGTGAAGGTTAACTGCTGACCACCTATTTGTATCCTGGGACAGGCAGCTGTCATTTCTGGGTTAGAGTTCAAAGATTCCCCTGTTGTACTCAGAGAGCTTTCTGGTACAGCAGACTGCCCACATGAATCTACAATTTGAATTTCTAACAACTCTGTGTTGTTGCTCTCCATACCTTCCATTTCCTTGTGAGGACCTGCCTCTATAAGGGGCCTTTTCTCATCTTCATTATCTAAAATACTCCCACCTTCTAAAACTACTGTTGGTATTTGTATTTCTGCTGACACATCAGTATGGTCTTGTGTGGATTTATTCACTGCATCCCCAGTTTCTGCTGCTGAGGTATTGCTGAAAAGGACAGACATGCATACATTTATTTTATACCTAGAAGTTCCAAGGAAATAAAAACAATTTACACCAAGAGAAAAGTGCCACATCTGAGCATAGGCAAACAGTTTCATGCTAATGACAATACAATTACTAACCCACGCTGTCCATATTTAAAGATGATAGATTTAACAATTCCAATGATGAATGATACAGGAGAGCTTGACTAACAGGAAGCTTTGCTGAAGTTATTGCTATTTAGCTTTTGAGACTATTCGCTTTGTCTTAGAATATGCCCAATGTCATTAACATGTAGCAGGTCCTTTTCAGAACGTCGCTTTCATCATGGTCAGCCTGAAAGAAACTCGGTCTCTCACCAGCTCTCCTGCCTCGTGGACTTGCATTTTCAAGGAGTGTACCCATCCTCCCGATGGTCGGCCCCTGCACCGCCTTCCTGCTACCATGCCTTCTATTATTTTTTCCACACAACCATGATCGTTTCTGGCTCCCATAATGAGTTTCTTGAGATAATAATGTGGTAGTTTCCACTTGCTTTCCACACCCACATGGCTGGAGACCATGACCTCAGTCTTTATCAACCTTTTAGACTGCCAGGGCAAGTAAGTGCCCTGCACTCTGATGTTCCTGCTAACAGCAGAGTAAGTGGTGTCCACTAATCCTGATGTCCAATATATCTTGTTTTTTTTCAAATCCTAAATGAGCTGACACCAGCAGCTGTCCACACATTTTTCTGATTTCTCTGTCTTTCTTGAAATCACCATAGTTAATTACCACTCCAGTATAAACATGATGATTGTTTTGTAATTATCCAAGTCCTGAAGGACAGTCTGAACAGTCTCGATAAGGAGCACCTATTATTTTCAGACCGGTTTTGAAATTCAGTGAATCCGTGGACCTGTGCAGCTGGTGTGTGAGAATCATTAGGAAATTTTGAATGATGTTGACCCCTATCACAAACTGAGCACCGACTTCTCTATTTAAAAAAAAAAGTGTCTGTCTGGCATCATCTGCCCGATATGTCACCGCTGTAAAAAGGATCCTTTGCTTTTTCTTTTTTTTTTTAAATAATTAGGAGCCAGTTTACAAGGTAAGTGGACATTTAACTGTTTTGGGAGATCATCTCTTTCAGGCTGAGTTTTCCTAGTGCCAATCCATTTGACACTTTATGCAGTTTATCTTTTTTCATAAAGGTAAAACAAAGAGTGATCTTAAGAGTTGTACACAGCTTTGACAACAGGAAAACAGATAAGCTTTATTACATACCTAATTTTCCTGTTCTTTTTGGCCCGTTCTGGTTCAGCAGCTGTAAATAAATATGACAAAATTACTTGACCGACTCAAAGAATGACCGTTATATTCATAAACAAAGCATAACTTGTATCACAAAATCAATTAAAGCTATTAAAGAAGACAAAAAGAAAAGATAAAAGACATTTCTTACACTCTGGCACCAGGATGCCACTAATCTGGCACCACTATCCATTTCAAATCTTTGCAAAACTATCTCTGTACCTGAGGGGTCTTTATGGGAACTAGGTAGGATTATTTCACTTTAATTTTTTTAACAAAGGGTGGGGGTGGGGTAGGGTTTGGTGGGAAATAACATACGATTGCTCTCAGTCTTAGTGGTTGCACAGCGGTGAGGTCAGGGTATATGTCACCATATACACATCGTCCTGTAACCTGTATTCATCTTGCCATCCTTTCACACACTTAACCCTTCTTCTTCAGCATTCCGATCCCTTGAGGTTCATTGCTGCAGATATCACCTGCATCCATTCATCTCTCTGGTTGGTCTTCTCTTTCCAGTTGGTAACAGTTGGTTTGCAGGTCTGTCTGGATATTATCTGTCCATCTTCTTCTTGGTCTCCCTCGTGGACATTAAACTCTTATATACAATATTTACAATTTTAATTTCAGTTGTATATCCAACCACCTCCTACGATCTGATATAAAACCTGATGCCTTAGCTCACCCAGAATGTTAATTATTCTCACTTCATTGTGCACACTTCCTGCCATTTCCATGCTTATTCTGTACTGGAATGGTTCCAACATGGAAAGGGTTCAGAAAACATATTTAAGAAAATAAGTATTGAAATTGGAAGCATGGACTGATGATGTCAAAGGAGAAACGCTACAAAGGTATGGACTGCAAACACGATTAAAATGATTGCACAGAACATCATGGAATTGAGAAACCAACTGCTACCCCTATGAATTTGTGTATGTGCTGGCTTTGAAGATGAGGACGGAGCGCAGTGGGAATGTCTCAAGTGCCATGAGGCCAGTTCTGAACTCAACACAACTTTCAATTCATTTGTAACTTAATGTACATCCTGTCTTTACACACACACACACAAAGAAAGAAATTAACAAGTACTCACCTTCTATTCCTGAGTACAATCTTTTCTTGCTCTTAGTTAGATCTAATTCCATGTCCTTGTACTTGCTTGATGGAACTGGTGCTCTGCCACTTCTACGAACTGCAGATCCAGGAGTTTTCCAGACATCATCCTCTTTCTTCACAGCTGCTAGGATTTCTGGACCAGCTACTTCAGTCTTTCTTAACCCTATTTTTGTTTCAGCAGCTGCTTCTTCAGAAACATTGTCAGTTATCTGAACATTCCCTTTTGCAGAACTTAATAAGCTGGAAGTTTTGTTGACAGGGTCACCTTTGGTTGCTTTCTCTTGTTTCAAAGGAGAGTCTGGATTTACTAAAGACTTGACTTCTGTCGTTCGTCTCCTGGGTACATTGCCTTTGTCTTTGCTGGATGATGACAATGATTTGGCTACCTTTACATCTGATCCTGTAGGACATACAAGAAAAAAAATATGGAAGAGTTAATTGTCTGACAGTCTGAGGGTGTAAACATATATTTTCTCATATTAGAGTAAATTGTGGACATATAAGAATTTATCATTCACATAACATGCAAGCACTACCCATATATTACAAACAATCTTCTTCTGCATTCACCTTTAACAATTTAACAAGGTAGTTAGTACATTCTGTTGTGGAATACAGCTAGGCCGCACCTGCGATCCAACTCATCTAACTTCAGCATATCCTTAAACAGCTTCTTTTTGCAACATGCTTGGGTCTATTCCTGTTGTCCCCAAAATGATGTCCCAGAATCCACATGGAGATCAAGTGAATCAAGAGGTGAGAAAAGAACACTACTGCTGGACATGACACACTGAGAAATTCTGAAGAAGAAAGTGAGGACACGGGTGAGCTGCATATAATGGCAACAAAGGAAAGGATCCTGCAGCTCACGAAATGCTTTTTCAATGTTTTCCACCTGCCTCTAATTTTCTTCTTCGTGTAATTTTGGTCCATCTTTTTTTTCTGGCCCTGTGGGTTTCAGTGCAAGGACATTCTACCTGAAGTATTATCAGCTTTTCTTAATGTGTTGTTGTCACAACTGACGTCATTGCACACTGAGCAGCCACTCCAAGGCACCACTACCGATTGTTCCTATGAGAAGCTGGTTATAGTCTTCTGTCTTGGTCTTAAAGACAGCACAGAATACACCACCAAGCTTTACCCCTAGGTCATGCAATGACATTAGCGTAAGAGATTCATTATTATCTCTAGCCTAGTCCATTCAACGTGAATGATATCAGCTCTGTCCATGTGTCTCAACCTGTGCTCTGACCAATGCCAACATTATTTCCCCATCTCTTGCTGTGGACACTGAATTTAATTTGTTTTGTTCTCTCCCAATAGTCATTCTGTTATACTAGGTATTGCACTCTATTCTGTGCAGGCACCTGTTAATAAATATTTGCAGTTTATAATTTTAGTCACTTTTCATGTTGGGAGTAATCATGGTATAGTGGCTAGGTGCTCGCCTGCAGATCTGAAGGTTGTGGGTTCAGGTCCTGACGGAACTGGGCTGTCTTAAAAAATAACCTTGGCTTCCAGGTCTACCCAGTCTTGAGTGGGTACCATGTGCAGTCCCGGCAAGTAAAGGTGGCCGATATGTTGTTAACCACATCACCCGCCAAGTGCTGATTGGTCTATAAAATACAGATCTAGCCCTATGTGCCCAATACACTTCTGAAGACGTAGAAAAGGCCCCTTTACCTTCTTTTTTTATTTTTTACATTCTCCATGTTTCTGCTCCACATAACAGTACTGATTTGATGTTAGAGCTAAATATTCTTTGGTACTATATGTAATTTTCTCTTACGTCTACAGATTTCCTAGTACTATGAATACCCCTCTGACTTCGTTATCTGCTGCTCGAACCCCTGATACAGTGACACTAATGACTAGCCTATCCATCCATTTCATTATTGATAACAAGTGTATGTTCTTGTATAAGATAAATGTAACTTTAGAAAATGCATATCTTTACCATACTGTCTTGATTATCATGTTTTAAATATTTTTTCTAACATTTCTTTTATAACCATGTAAAACAGAATTAGCATTATTAAAATTTTTAAAAAATGTAAAAGGGTGAGCTTTAAGCTTTAATTAATAATTCAAGAAGGACAACTCTGCACTAATTATTCCTTTAAGAGTTAAGCAACTGAGTTCAACAAATTATTATTAGGCATGTGTTTACATTACCTTGCTTACCATTTATGTATTCTGCATCTGTCTTTTGCTTCTTTTTCACCATCCTTCCTGATCGAGTAGACAGTGATGACATTTTTTTAACATTCAGCTGTCATCAAGAAATTAATTTCTTGTTGTGGTAATCTATCTGTTAGATGATAAACGTTGATTTATTTTTGTTAATGGCATACTAATAACACTCAGCTCTCATCAAGAAATAATTTGATGGCTACAGATCTGAAATCATAACACACTGGACATATCTATAAATACTTAATCTCCTACAGCTGATGTCTTATGATGTAGATACTGTCCGTTCCAGTAACAAAGAGGTCGTACACACGTTTAATGGTGTAGATACTGACTGTTCTGGTGGAATACAGGTCATACATAAATCGTACTCTTCCTCTCATATGACTTATCTTGCCAGATCTACATTTAATTCCATAATCATGCGCCTTACCCATATTGTTCAATCTAACATCGTACCTTCCATCAGCATTTTTTCATAACGGGTCCTTAGAACGGCTGCTTTGCTCGGGATTAGTTTTGCCACTGCCCATGCTTTTGTAGCCCCAAAAAATCAACTTTTTCATTGCCTCACACCACTGTGTGTCTAGAACAGTATATTCAAGAACCTCTGTAATGCTGATGTTCGAGTACCTCCAAGTCCACACATGACAATTTTGAACCTTCCATAATACCGAATAAGTATCAGACACTAAGATTTTTGGTTATCTGTTGTGTGACAAATTATATATCATCTTTTGTTGTCTCACCGATACCAGGTTTTAGCCTAGTGTCACAGCTTTCTAGATATGTCTGTTAATATTTTTGCAGGTTTCAGCTGCACCATTTAGTTATCATTTTCTTGGTCTCCCCCTCCCCATTCCCAGATGTTCTGAAGTAAAAAATCTCCTACGCACGCTGGTCTGGATGCATTCTGACTAGTTGGCCGAACCAATTCATTCCTTAACATAATATCAGCTTATATGTGATAATGACATGTTTCTAACTTTCAGCTCAAAAATGCACTTCTAACTATTTACCTGTTGTATGACAAATGCTGACACATCATGAATCGTTTATGTAGGTCTATGTTGCATGCTGATTATTCCTGGGAGTTCAAGGGAATGTCCCTTGAACAGGGTCAACATTGGCCCAGGTAGTGAGGGGGAGAGAATGTTAGGACCAGTGAGAAGTGTACTGTCACGAGAAAGTAGATGTGTGGGCTCACTGTACGGACTGATAAGCATGGCTAACCTGATGCATAGAGAAAGTATGAATTACGTGCCAGCGTGATTCTCATGTAGTCTCGAGAACGCCCAAATGAGCATGATTCCCGAGAACACCCACATAATTGTGACTTTCGGTTAACTGTAGCTGCCCAAATGGGACAGGAAAGGTATATATGGACTGAGAGTCAGTCACTCAAGCAGTGAGCTGCAGCCAGAGAGCTAAAGCACTGGGGAAGTGAGGGTGTAGTACACACCCAGAGCGAGAGTGCTGTACGTCAGTGAGTGAGTCAGTCAGAGAGAGAGAGACTAGTCAGGGTCAGTATCTCTCAAGTGAGACAGACAGAGTACCATGCAACCGTCAGACAGCAAAGTCTGAGTGAGAGACTCTGTCACGGTACTGGCCGAAGGTATAGTCCCGCTGGCAAAGTAAGGCCAAGGAGACTGGACGCTTCAATAGTGATGATGCAAGGAGACGTAGGATCACCATGGAAACATAACAGTAGGGATGCCAACGAGAGTAGTGTGCTAGAAGAGACTTGTGTTAGAAGTCCTGTTGGTCATTGGAGTCCTTCGATAGGCTGATGTGCTGTGGGCACATGCTGGAGAAGGAGCAAGTGAAGTCCATTTCCAGTCAGTCGTTGTTGTCTGTTGGAAGTAATATCAAGGTCCAGTTGATAATAGAGTTCTTCATGTTCTGCTGTCGACGAGCCCAGAGTTATGGGACGCTGTAGACCTTCGGAGCTGTAGTGGTCAGGGAGAGGTCGCTACAAGTTGAGAGGAGAGAGTGAGGACTATGTTCGAATGCCAGTTGGGATCAGTGTCTGCATCTCTTAGTATGTAGTAGTGTCTATGTGAGGGCTTGTCAATACCCTTGTGTGTTGTTCCAATAAACTTGATGTATGGTGGAGCTGACAGCGTCGTGTTGTAACTCAGTGAGTGCAGTGAAGATTTGTACCTGTGGACACTTGATCGTGTGCTGATTATTGTGTAACTCAGATAGCACACAACAGTCTACATGAACAAGACACTAAAAGTTAGCTGTATATCCTTTACAGAGCGTTTTAGAACCAACCCCTGCATCTGTGGTTTTACGAGACAATTTTAGTAGTTTGGTACTACTTATGAACAGTTTGCTCTTGACACCACTGTAGAAACAAATGCAAGGCAGTCTGTTGCCAAATTGTCAACAGCTGGGATTGAACCCGGCATCTCAGAATTATGATGGACTTGCATTTGAATCTGCATTGAGGCCAATTTTTGTAATAATAATATTGACCTCGATTTCCAAGTTAACCCTTTTAGCATGGGAAGTTTTTCAGATGTCTAGCCAAAAACATGGAGCATTTTTTCAGTAAATTTGGTTATAACTTTATTTTATTTTTGTATAACATTTCTGTTATTCTGACCCCCATGAAATAGTACATCTGAAGGATATAGATTGAACTTCGTGATTTTCACAATATCGTTAAAATTAATTGATGTATATGTAAATTATCTCTTTTGCATGTCTAAAAAATAAAAAATTAGAATGAATTTTCAACTTCAATGCATGAAACATATAACTAAAAACAAAAAATATATTTTATTTGAAATATTTTTTATTGATCTTTGGCCTTTTTACAAATGATGTAAGCAATTCAATAGTCAAAAACAGGTATATATATGTATGAAACAGCAATAATATCTTTAGGTGACATGTGTTTTTGACCATCAGTCAGCACAAGAAATGGATGTGCCGGAGTGTCAACTTTGGGTGGATATACCCTGAGCCATGGTTGGGCTGTGGTATGAACATAACAGCCTCCCCATCTGATTCCCCACTATTACAACTAACACTAGATTCTGCATCAGTATCAATAGAATTAGTGTCATCACTTGATTCAAATGTTTTATGAACATCAAGTTTAGGGGCAGAAACCTACGAGTCAGACATACTTTTAGCGGTTCAGACACTAGAAAGTCGCCATGTGTTAAGCTAATACAGCAGTGAATATAAAAGAATCAATTTCAGTGTTTAAAAATAGGAAATTTCTTAGCGTGTCGAGGCAAAACACGATCGGGCCAATGATCGGCCATTCCGTGTTTTTGGCCAGACATCCGACGGCCGATAATCGGCCCGTCCGTGCTAAGAGGGTTAATTCCATCTACACTGATTTTCAGTAACTGGCAGATGCAGTTTGTTTTCGAAAAAAAAAAAAACTTATTTGTCGACTCAGTTAATGGGTCTTTTAACTCCAGAGAATGCGTCCTGGAATCCACACAAGAACATAAAAATATAAGTCTAACCTCATGTCTGATGTGCCACTGGCGTGAAAATCAAAAGGGTCCTTTATATTTTTAATGAGGCTGGTTGACCCAAAACTGTGCATTGATCAAGGAAGACAAATCCTTCTTAAACTTAACTAAACATAACTGGATAACTTGAAAAAAAGGTTAGCTGCGTATCCTTTACAGGACGTTGCAAAACCAACCCTAACAGCCCCTGGCTGTTGTGTGGTTTCTCTAGACAAATTTACGTCTAGTCATTTGCCATTGCTTTCTGGACGGTCGGCTTTCTTGATACCACTGTCAAAACCAACGCAAGGCGTTATGAAGCGTTCGCATCGACTTAGCCACAGAGCCGATACAGATAACTTGAAACAAAACAAAAAAGAATGAGGTTTTTTACAGTCAGCGAGTTAGTAAGTTACATTGTAGAGCAATAATTTTCTAAGATAATCTTACTATATGAAGTATATGTCAGATTTTAGTTCAGATTTTTGTTTAGTGGCAAATTTGAAATTGTTTTTCATGACCTTTTCTATTCAATTTTAAGTAAAGGTATAGTGAAGTGATGGCAGCGAACCAGAAGCACCGAAGGCCGGGCAGGGAGAGACTAGCTCTAGGAGAGAGACACACTCGGACACTGAATAATTAGTAATTGAATGAAAGTAGAACACAACATCCGAACAGTGGCTACGTCTATCGTATGGATGGATAAGAAGAATGCTGCCAGGCTATTATTTATCATTTGAACTCCTTATAGGTTTCAGTTCAATTTACGGTTAGTATTACTATTCTATACTATTAGTTATTAGTACCATCTCCGTGTACTGACTAGGGACTACAGTTTCGACAATTTGCGGTCTTTTTGGCAATTTCTGTTACCATGGAAACCGTTAAAAACTTGTCTGGGGTTTCGGGATGGGTCCTAATCTCTCATGAAATTTTGCGATTGGTGTGATTTTCACCAGCTATAAACAGCTGAAAACGGCAGGAACGGATCCAATTAACAGCGCATGTCTACGACAGCCGGACGTCCTGTCTGTTTTTCTGTTACATCAGTTTGATTGAAAATAGCGGTAAGTTTTCAAAGTTGGCTTTAGGCCTTAAACATTACCAGACATGGTAATGCTAGTTATAATTGAATTCTCCGTCCAATTTTACATTTGTGCATACAATTTCTTTCTTGTCTGTGGCTGTTTAGATGTACAGTGACATTTTTCAGGCAATCGCTAATATGTGGCTGTGTCTGAGAAATATTGTCTGCCATCTTGTCCAATGAAAACAAAGCCAAAACGAAAGTTGCGCAGAGAAAACTTCTTGTTTCTCAGACACAAGTTTTAGCAGCTGTTTTTTACATCTCATCTCATCACAAAAACCTACATATCTTCTCAGCTCAGAAATGACATACACAAGGCTAAATGAGGTACCATTGGAAAGAGATTGTTTACAGCTATCTAACTGTAATGGTTTTATTGGTGTTGAGGGCATTTTTAAAATTTGGCTAAAGTAGCTATACTGACTGTTATTTATTTAATTTTGAACAGCAAACAAAACACTTAAACACAGAATCGGTTCCCATTGTAACAACACA